TAGGGATTTAGGTTTTAGTGTTTAGAAATTTGGGTGTAAGGCTTTGGGGTTGGCGCCTAGCTGTTGTGGTATCGGGTTTAGGATTTGAAGGTTTGAAGGCCTTCGGGTGGTGAGTTTACGCTGGTTCCCTGGAAATTATGGGCACGGGGATGGATCTGAAGGGGCACAGTCCCTAAACCCTTAACCTAAATCCTAAACCCTGTCCTCTCGCTCTTGGGAACCAAGGTCCCGAGTATCTGGGGTAGAACCCACAGCGGTCGTCAGAGATGTTCTTCAATGCCCCCGACCATAGTGGTGCTCTCAAAGCATTGTAGAGGCCCCCTTTCTGGAATCCCTATAGTAAGGATCCTAGTATTTTTGGGGTCCATTGGGGCCTCCATTTATTGAATGCCCATATCCCTTTACCCCCTTGCAGTCGCAAATTGCGAATGTATCCCGCTTGAAGCCCAGTCTCGGTGATCGGGAAGCTGAGGCCGCCAGGGACCTGCTTATGTGGAGACTCGCCAGGGCAATGTTAAAAAAAGTCTGTTCAAAAATAGCATTNNCTAGACCCTCCTCCTACCCTCAATTAGGGCCTAAGTACCCACTATTAGGGACCATATATCCCCAATTAAGGGTACAAGGAGGGTCCTGGTTAAGGGAAAAAGTAACACTAAGGGACTCTGTTCAAAGAGCTTTCGCTTGACTCCATCCTTTCCGGACTAGGCAGGCAGGCTCACTCCAATCTGGAGGTCTTCGTGACAAGGGCCCTTGAGAAAGATGCTGAACCCCAGCGCCGAGGACTCACTCTGAGGATATTGGGAGCACCAAGCCCCCCCCCTCTCATAGAAGTCGATTGTGAAGGTCTTTTGCTTATCTTTTGATGGAGCTATCTTAAGATGTTGAATGCTTTTTAAGATACCTGTGAATAATCAGGAACATAATTTGGGGTGTCATACACCAAGAACTTCTTTAGAGATATGCGGCTTCCCCAAAAGATGCTGAATACCCTCAACCCTACAAACCGGGACCTAGATCCGTCAGCACAAACGCTTTGCACTTGATCCGCACAGGCAAGCAAAACAAAACCTAAAACACAAGCATCAAGTAAGCCCCTTCAAGACTCAGCAGCCTCTAAACGCGCAATCCTGCAACTCTCTGAACTTTCAACACCCAAAAGAACACCTGAAACCGACACCCTATACCCATCGCGCCCCTCGCCGGAACTCCCGATGCCTTGGGGTTGGACATGGATGGGTCCAGGCCCAGAAGGACCTCGAGCATCACCATGCAGAAGGAGTAGGCCTCAAAGTCAGGAAGTTTAGGGGAATAGGGTTCAGTACTTGGAGTCTAGGCCTTGGGTCTGGGACGTAAAGATGGCGTATCATTTGGGTTGCGGGTCGCCTTGCTAGAGGCAGGGATGAAGCCCTCCCCAGCCACAGAAACTCATCTTTTCGCAGGTTCCGGGATAGTGACAACGCGGGGACATAGCTGATGGTGCGACCCCCTGATTCACGGAACCCAAACCTCGGAGGACTCGCTGACGCGACCGGTCTTCTCGTAGAGCGGGCATCGGTAACCTTAGCTTTGTGTGCGCAGGGTACAAAGACACCGCATAAGGCCTCATTTGCGCTAATTGAAGCCCATGTAGTGAGAGTGAAGGAAGAGGGGAGTAGTGAACGATATGACAACACGAAAAAGGAAGGGACCAGGAGAAACCATACCGCCTGGGCAAGAGTATTGCTAGCTTGCTCATGCAGCCTCATTGTGCTCTCGACGGCACAGCGATGAGCACGGATAACATTGGCGAATGTTGGCATGTATACCAACACTCCTATATACCAAACCTACCCCAAACCCAGTACACTAACTCCTATATCCCTTTACCTCTCAAAACCTGAACCCTACCCCCAAACCCTTCCAAAAGAGAACCCCAAAGCCTAAACCCTGACCATCCCCAAAATCTGCCCAGACACCCGGCGTGCCGGACGCGAAGCGCACGTCCACGTGATCCGCACCGGCGTGGTTGGAGGAGCAGCTCAGCCTTTGGTTGCTCAGGGTTTAGGGACTTCGGGTTTGGGACTATAAGGGCTTAGGGTGTAGGTTGCAAGGTTTACTTTTTGGGGGTTGAGGGGTTTAGGCTTGAAAATGGCTTGGGGGGGTTGCGGGGTTTACTTTCAGCGGTTTAAGGTTTGAGGCCTAAGGGGCTATCTGGACCCAAAAGTATGAGAATAATTCTACGAGTTTGGAGTTTAGCGCTTAGAGTTCAAGGCTTGGGTGGACTTCTGAAGGGCTTAGGAAAGTTTGCAGTTTGGGAGTTCGGGTTTTAGTGGTATGGGGTTTAGGTTTTAGGGGTTCAAGCCTCAATTGGCCGTCTGGACCCGCAAACATGTAGAATAATGTTCTGCTCAACTGTTGTTGCGGGTTTGGTGCAATTGTCTGTTCCTACTTTTTGAGTTTGGATATTTAGGAATGAGTAAGCAAGGTCTAAGTTTGTTGCGGCTGGGATTTGCAGCCTGGAGTTCAGGGCAGGCTTCAGCAACTAAATTAGGGTTTGGGGTTTAGGGTAGCAAGGCTTCATCAATGAATCCACCTGTTCAAGTTTTGGTGTCTACGGGATTTTGGCATTGAGCTTCAGATATCAGATGACTTGCATTCGCGTCGGAAGATTTCTGGGCTGCAAGAACTCCGACTGTGGAGACGTGGGCTAAAGATTGGGAAATTCCTTACTAGGGGTCAGTAGGGAATAAAGGGAGAAAAAACCGATATAATCAGTGCGTACGATATTCCCTTATTCCCTACTTAACTCCGGTAAGATTAGGCTTTTTAGACACTTGAAAATTCTGGGAAAGCCTCTGCCGATGTCCCCAGTGCAAAAGCTCAGCCTTCATCCAAATCCTCAAAGCTCTTGAACCTATCCAAGATAACACCTCAGCCGAGTTTAGACCAAGACAGTAACAGTAGCTTCCATTTTCTGTTCCATTATCCCTATATAAACCCTATATAATCCTAGTATAGTAGTTTCCATTTTCTTTTCCACTATCCCTATATAACCCCTATATACTATCCAATATAACCCCAATATACTATAGCTTATTGTGCAGCACCCTAAACCCTAAACCCTAAACCGTATCCAAGGAACCCAAAATCAGCCATCTTCGCCGTTCCATGCCGATCTAGCCTGGGGATGTGGGAGCATCTCAAGGCAGGCCCCCCAAAATGTGTAGAACTAGCGTTTAGGGTTTAGGGATAAGGGTTTAGGGTTTAGGGTCAAGGGTTGAGGGTTTAGGGTTTAGGGCTCTGTCTATGGGTTTTGGGCCATTATTTCACCAAGTTTTGAAGTCCAGGGACAGATTCTGGGCTGATTGATGGTGTACTTGCATCGGACTATACAAGGATCATTCCGGGAACCCCTGTGTAGGAGTTTCTGAGAGGAATCCATGCAATCGGCGGAACCCCTTGATCTCTTTTTCAAACCCCACGTATCACAGGGTCCTAGCAGCCAACGATACCTCCATTTTGTGCGACCCCGTCTGAATGATGTGTGGGATGTGCAGCTCATAGGGGTTTGGTGGCATTGCAAGAAACATTCGGGTTCGGAGCCAGGTTATGGGTTCGGTCTCGCATTTTGAAGCAGCACCAGGGAATAGTCCAATTGGGTTTAATCGACTAAACATCTGAGCACACATCTTGCCAGCCCTGAGACAGAACAAACTCTGAGAGCCATGGGCAGAACTGTGTCCGCAAGAAGAGCAAGCCTAAAAGGCCTAAAAAATTGCGCTCCGCTTGATCACGCCGTCATGGCGGGGCTCATTTCCAAATTTCTGGCTTAGCCGAATCTTCTCAACACTAAACCCTAACAACCCCAAAACCCTATCTCGAGTCTGCGACCTGCTTACCACACTTTGGGGGTGAGGTGGGGCAAGGTTGGCGTACTCTGCACTGTCACATACAGCTCACCGCGAGATAGTGTCTGGAACCTACACCCTTAACCCTAAACCCTGACCCTCACCAGGGGACGCCCTTCAGCAGGAAAAAGGAGTGGAGTTCCTCATGCCGGAAACCTGCATCTAACCTGGAATTTGCTCAAAGCTTGTCCGCCCCCTATACTCCACCCGTATCTACAAATAATTTTGAGGGATACTCACATGTCCAACCGCACTCCCTGCAATCAGGTTGCAAGATGTTGGCGGACTTGATGTCTCGATGGAAGGCCTGTCAGGGACGAACGAAGCCTGAAGCCCCAAAACTACTTGGGAGTTCAGGATGTTTGTAATCCAATTATAACGGCACTTTTTGACTTAAAAACAGGCCCAATCATAAGGACCCGTTGACATTGGGTTATTAAGTACCCTGCACCTCCAAGTACTGTAAACCCTCCAAAGCCTAAGCGCAACCCCCCCCCCTAAACCCTGAAACCTCAGACCATAAACCATAAACCATAAACCATGACCTAAACCCTAAACCCTAAACCCTGAACCCTAAACCCTAAACCCCTAAGCTCCACACCTGCCTTGGGTGTTGAGTTGTGCATATGGGAGAGCCCGGTGGCAGCGTCCAGGCAAACAGACAAGCGCTCGTGCCATGGAAAAGGGGTGGGGGTCTGCGATCCTCAGAAGGTCAAGCAAGGGGAATTCGAAGAAATGCGTCAGATACATCTATGTGTATATGTATCAAAAAACGCCCGATGACTGAACATGCAGATTTCCACAGAGTTAGAGCTCGCTTTTTGAGGTTGGCTCTCATTCTAGTATCCTTCGATCTTTATGGCACCTCGCCATGCAACGAAACTCAAGCGCGTCTACAGGCTCAGAGTCTTGGAGTGAACAAATTGTCGCTTCCTTTTGGGGATTAGGGTTTAGGGATTAGGGGTCAGGGTTTAGGGTTTAGGGTTTTTGACAAGCCTTACTTCAAAATGTCCACAAACTGAAGCCTTACGCAGACATGAAACCCCACAGGCTCTAAACCCTACTCCCCGAACTGATGAACCTTGTCGAAATCCCAAAACGAGGGAAAAATAACAGCCCAAAGGGCCGTTATTCTACATACTTTTGAGGTTCTAGGTCCATAAAACCTCTAAACCACGATCTCCGAACTGCAAACCTAAGTCCTTGACCCAAAAGCCCTACCTGGACCTGGACCCCAGAAGCGTGTAGAATAATAGCCTCTTGGACTATGTTTAAGGATTTTGGGCCATTACCTCACCTACTTAAAGGGCTTAGGTACTCCTAAACCCTGAACTCGTACGAGCGTCTGCTCTTATGGAGCCGTCGGAAAAGATCCCCACCAGAGAGGAGCCTGTTTCACTTTTGGGGATCCAAGGATTGCAGTGTAGTTTAGGCTCCAGGTTTAGGGTAGTTTAAAGCTTCGAAATATTGGGGTCTTTGATCTGGGTTTTGGGTTTGGGGCTCAGATTTTGGGTATAGGAATGATGGGTCAGTGCGGTTGGTTTAGGTATGGGGGTTTTGAGCTGACCCTACATCGGTAATCCCTAAACTGCAAGTCCGTTCATGGCATGCCTCTGTTGCTCCTTCATTTTCAAGGAACATCCCCCAAAGCATCCCAGTCGCCGAAGCAGGTACTATCTAACCCTAAGCCCTAAAGTCAAAATCCTAGCCTGCTCATGGACTGTAGAGCACGAGGTAAACTTTATTGCTCAGGGCTCATGTGTCTAGATCCGAAAACCTGAGCCCTACATCCTAAACATACTGGTGCTTGAGGGAGAGTGGGGGAGTGGATCCCTAGAATGATCCCTATAGAATCCCCATATATACCCCTACAATGCTACCTATATCTATCCCCCTTAAGCACCAATAAGTAAACTCTAACTTAAAGCATCTCCCAATCTCGGCCCAGAAGCTCGTAAACCAAATACCTGGAGCTGCCATGGCTTCCCCACCCGAGCAAGGTGACCAAGTTGGGGTGCCGGAACTTGCTCAGCATCATGACCTGGCTTGAAAAGATGTAGGCTTCGGGCACTTTGGGGCCTAGGATCCAGCATGTGGTTGAGGGTGTATACTTCGGGCTCCCTAAACCCTAAACCCTAAAGCCCTAAACCCTAAAGCCCTAAAGCCCTGAACCCTAAATCCTAAAGCCCTAAACCCTAAAGCCTGAACCCTAAATCCTAGAGTGCGGGCCCGCTGAGTTGGGTTTCTTGGGCTTTAGTAGCGCATCCTATATAACACGGTTTCAGGGTTTAGGGTTCAGGGTTTAAGGTTAACCCTAAATATCCCGAGATAACCCTATATTACCCCCTAAAGAATGTTGGCAGGGTTAGGATCTCTCGGGCCAACCTTCCGCCCATTGCCGCAGGCTCGGGGTCTAACCCCCTCCCTCTCAATGGGCTTAGGGTTTAGGTTTAGGGTCTACGGTTTAGATCTGGGTTTAGGGTGTAGGGCTTATGGTTAAGGATTTAGGATTTCAGATGTTAAGGTTTCTGATACTACTTTCCTACCCCCATACAACACTAAACCAAGACCCCATACAAATAGATATCTTTTCGTTTAAGCCCCCTGAGACCCCTGGCCCTTGCGCCTCTTCGTCAAAGCCGGCGTCCTCCGGGTTGTCCCCGGCGCCTACAACAGCTGCAAGGTCAATGGCCTTGACAGCCACCTGCTTCTGCTTCAGGGCTTTTGGGCTTTTGGGTTCAGGGTGTGTATATACATTTATATATTTGTTTGTTTTTTGTATCTTTTGGTTGTTTGCTTTTACCTCTTTACATTTGCTTTATATGGGGGTTATGAGCATTACAGCTAGATCCGGAACATCCTGAGACATTCATATATGTATACCTCAACTGGCAGCGATACCTATCTAACCCTTGAGGCCAGTTTAGGGTTTAGGGTTTATGTCCGCGGTCTCTTGGCGCAGGTTCCGCGCAAACTCCCTTGAGTTTGCATCCCAAACCAACAGATGCAAGGCCCTAAAACCTACACCCCAACCCTAAACCCTAAACCCCTAAACCCTAAACCCAAACTATCATGGAAGCCCTAAAAGGGCCTGAAGAACACCCAATAAAGCCTACCGTCATCATAAGAACATGCAAAATGAAGCGGAACTTGGGCTATGTGGGGGTTATGTAGGCATAAAAAACTTAAATCAAATTTGGTTGTTAATGTACCATTCTAGGGGAAACGTGAGTGTTTCCTGCAATATGCTAACATACTTTCAGCTCCTCCGCAGGAAGCCCGTAAAAGCAATTGCCTCGATCAGGCTGGGGCTTGTTGCTGTTGGTTGTAATCCCCACCCCTAAGGATGGAACCCCCCAGCCCGCATGAATACATATGTATATACCTATTTTTCATATTCTGCTAGAAACAAATTTATAAGTAGTTCTTCGGGAACAATACCTTTCTGCCATTGTTAAGGGGTGAGCGTTTCACCCCTAAACCCTAAACCCTAAACCGCTAACCCCATTACGAGGGGAGGGGATGGAGCAGGGCAGGATGAGACCATTGCAACACATATACGCGCGTTTGCTCTTGGCATACGGCTGATACGAGTACAGGATTTCGTCACTTGCATGGCCGAAGCAGCGCAAGGCACATGCCTAGTATAGGGTTTAAGGTTTGGGGCTGATACTAAACTATGGCTGATACTGAAAATCCGGCTTGACTGTACTATACCATAATACTACAATTCCCAAAGCATAAAGTACTTAAGGTCATGCAGGGTTTGTAGCGTCCACCGTTCCCTAAAGCCGTTCTCTCCAAGGTTTAAGCTAATTCGGGTCATGCAGGATTTTATCATCCAGCGCACGTCCCTTACGCGAAGCATCATATGATAGTGAACTGAAAACAACCTTGAGCAGCAGGAACCTTGTGGCTTAGGGTTTAGGGTTTTCAGTTCATGGTCCTGCGCAATAGGACACCAAATACATGCCCTCACCGATACTACCACGGAACAAAATATCTACATACCGAAAGCCAAAATGAAAGCCTACAAATTGGTCATGGTCCAACTACCTGAAGGTTCAAAGTTAGGGGTTTCAAGTTTCAGGGTTGTTCAGGGTAATGATATCCCAATGATGATTGGTACTTATAACGCAATTGTAACCATATTAATGGGGGACTTACGACGCTTGTAATCGGGGTATACGTATAGTCATGTTGTAACTACCCCGAACCTTCAAGTAGGCAGCATCAGGAAGCCTACGTTAATTAGATGAGGGCGCTCGCCATCCGGAATCCGATGCAAGCTATCAATAAACCAAGGAAATACTGAATGCTGTATTCTTGGACATGCTGATGCATGCAGCTTCCAGCCGCACATGTAATGTCCGGGCGACAAAAAGTTGATTGCACGTAGGTTTGGAGTTTCCATTGCCAGAAACAGGCAAGATGCAGACACACAAGGTCCCATTTCTAAAGCTGCTAACGTAAATGTTCAACTGCCGTAAGCAAAACAAAACGTCTAACCAGCGTCGCAAAGACATGTGGGTATTTCCAAGAATTGAGGGTACCAGTTTGGGGTCCCTATCATAAAGAGTATAGTGTTTAGGATCTTATTGGGGCCCGCCTATTTATCGAAACTAAGATATGAATCAAATCTAATTGACAGCCGTATTAGTTGTTGTCTGCAGTAATGACACCAAAGACTGCGGTCTCATGCTGCATTTACTGGGACAGTCGTTCGGGTGTGATTCTCTGGTGGCCCGTCTGCGCAGGTGCAAGCTTTTGTACTTCAACAAGCTGAATTTCAGACAAAGTGTCTCATCTATCTATTGCAGGCTGGCTGTCATTTGGGTTTGTTGCACGGGGGCGTTGTTGAAGAGGTTCGTCTGCGGAGCCTCAGAACTAGAGCAAGTAAGTTCACAAACGCAGGGGTTTGTGGAATGGGTGCCCATCATGAGGCAAGATGCATACTTGTCAGGACGCACTGCTTGGATTATGTAAAAAGAATGCAACTTCTGTTTGGCTTGCGCACTTGCTCGGGCGGCATCCTACATCTCGAATGAAGCCTCCAACAATGCAACTTAACCAAAGACAGGTTGCTCAAGTTTCTGCACCGAAGAGGGGTCTAGCACATGCACAACAGGGAATTCCGGACTGCATCACACACCATAAATCTGCAGACCTGGGAAAGGTGGGTGTGGTGTACGGGCCCAAAGCAATTCAAACCTTTAGGATTTAGAGATTCAGGTTTGACTACCTCATTACCTGGTCATAGTCGTGAAAGCTATAGTCCAAACTCCTAGCATCCCCCTTAAATACTAACCCCTATACTATAGTTGTAAGTCCCCAAAAAATCCCCTACATAACCCCCCTATAAGGAGTTGAGACTCCAGGTCACGTCATACGGACCAGGACGTGGCTGCTAGAAACTTACCAAGGCTCAGTGCTTTTCCGCAAGGTTTAGGGTTTACAGGTTTAAGGTTCATTGACCCCCCAAAAAACTTGAAATTAGGGAGGTTTCAGGTGGGTAGTCAGCAGACAGGTACAGTTGCATATATAGGGACACTAGGACTAATAAGTGTTAGTTATGTAAGCCTTATACGGGGAAACTACCCACCTCTTAGCTTAGACTTACCCCAAACCCTAAACCCCGAAACCCTAAGCCTTGACTGGTTTGGAGGACGGAAGGGACTGTACGGAGTGATTTGTCATAAGGTTTGGGGTTGAGGGTTAAGGGTTTGGGCTACGGGGAAACCCTAAACGCTAAACTCTAAACCCTAGGGTTAAGGGTTTAGGGCATGTGCGGATCCTGTACCACATTCCCCACAAATCGCCTACATAGACTGCTTGCCGCCCTTTGAAAGAAGGACCATACCATTAACCTCCAAGACTCGGTGCCCCAAATCCTCCACCAAAAGCCCTAGTAAGCCTGTAATTGTGCCTAAGTCCTAAGCCCGAAGTCCTCCCCTGCTCTATCTACTTGAGGACGGCTCTTAGCACAGACCTTGCCAGTCTTCCTTTCTTCCAGTAAGCACCTGCTTGTACACAACCACGTACGTAGCATGGGGTTACTGTAGATGCACACGACTCAGACCCTAGGAAAAAATACATCCTCGAGCTACTTGAGGAAGATCATGTACCCTAAACCCTACTGCCTTAATGCTAAAAACCCTGCTTCCCATCTGCGTATTGAGGCCGATCAACCAAAATATCAAGTACTACAGCTGAAGAGTAACTAGCCCCCGGGGCCCCTCTACTGAAGGCGGACTATACACCCTCCAAAGCGCATTAACCCTAAACCCTAAACCCTAAGCCCTAGACTAAATTACTAAAATCCTGTAGCCCGTGAACCTTGTCCTGAACTCAATGGCGGATCTACTTCATGAGGCCTGCGAGCCCTGACCTGAATCGCAAAATTCTAATCCCTGAACCCTATAGGTTTAGGGTTTAGGGTTTAGTAGCCACCTTCCTAACCAGGACAACAGTTGATACTAGACAGAAATACCTTATACCATACCATGAGAACTAGGTGTTGCCTACTATGCTGCACTCATGCAGGAATTTGAATATCAACGCTCTAAACCCTCAACCCTACACCCTGAAGCCTAAACCCTAAACCCCCTAAACCCCTTGAACCCTCGCACCCTAGACCCTAAACCCTAACTGTACCATTCCCAAGTGCCCTTTTGCCCCGTGGCCTGGGAGCCATCTTTCAACTCCGCCTCCAAGGCTCAAGTGAAGGTTTCCCAAAATTAGGGTTTAGGGTTTGTTTTTACAACCCTTCGGACTTTTCGTCTTCCCGGCTCGGCAAAGGGTTCTAGAAGGAAACTTTACTTGGTTGAGGAGGTACCAGTGCTTCGACCCTGAAAGGAAAAGGTTACGGGTTTAGGGTTTAGGGCTTAGGGTTTAGGGCTTTTAGGGGTTATATAGGGATACTGGAAAATAAAATGGAAGTTACTATTTAGGGTTTAGGGTTTAGGTCTTAGGGTTTCCCAAAATTAGAGGTACCATTTTGGGGTCCCAATAAGAAGGATCATAGTATTTTGGGGGTCTATAGTGGGGTCCCGCTATTTTGGGAAACTGGGGCTAAGGAGGGAACGGGGCGGTTTGGGGTTCAGGGGTGTTAGGATTTTAGGCTCTGTGGGTCTGAGGTTTGGTATGTGGCTTAAAGCCTTGGGTTTGCAGTTTTTGCCTTGAAGCCCAAAATTGGGGCGCTTCTCAGAAGTGGGCTCCAAATGTACCCGCCCGAAATACTACGATCGGGGCGCCCAAGAAGAAGCCCGCAGTCTTGAGAAGTTCTGAACCATGGCTTCAGAAATTTAAACGTCGAAGTTTTGGAATTATCATCGTCCTTTCCATGCTCCCTCAAATCGCGATGACTAAGTCCCAAACCCTACTTCCCAAAAACCTCCACGCCTTCAGCCCAAATCCTACACACACCCAAAACAACTCAGGACCACACTCCCCCACTCCCCCACACCCTTACCCCTAAACCCCAACCCCAAAACCCTAAACCCTAAACCCTAAACCCAAACCCCTAAACCCCACACCTTGTAGACCGATCCATGCTTCCCGGAGCCCAACCGGCGACTGGCGCTCCAGTTGTCGGTGGCCGCGGAGAGGTCGGAGTGAGAATATTCCTTGGGAAAGGTGGGCTTGGTTTAGGATTTAGGATCTAGGGTTTAGGGTTTTGGGGTTTAGGGTTTAGGGGTTTAGGATTTAGGGGTTTAGGGTTTAGAGTTTAAGTGGCTTAGGGTTTAGGGTTGTAGGGTATCAACCCAAAAAGCCCTGTAAGCCCTATGAAACCCTATACACCCTATAAGCCCTACATTGAAAAGACGCCAGGCTTAGCTTCAAGGGATCTATCAAGCCCTCTAAACCCCATACACCCTATAAACCAGATAAACCCAAAGCTCATAAGACGCCGGGCTTCAAGGGACACGGCCCTTAGTTGTGAGGCCGCAGCCAGACGCGAAGCGGCCGCTGTTGTGGAGGAAGCTAGGCGAGCCTGAACCGAAAAGGGTTTACGGTGTAGGGTTTAGGGTTTAGGGGTTAAGGGTTCAAGATCTAGGGTTTAGGGTTTAGGGCGGAGGGCTTCGGGTTTAGGATTCAGGGTTTAGGGTTTGGGGCACATCTGGACCTTGGATTTCGTACCATCTGTGTGAACCGAGACATCCAGGGTCCAGGTGGGATTTGAGCGCTAGGTTTTTTAAGCCCTAAACCCTCAACCCTAAACTTAGGGTTCAGGGCTAAAACGTAGGTCTAAGGGTTCGGGAGTATAAGTTTTAGGGATGTAGGGGTCAGGATCTGAGGTACAGGGCTTTTAGGGTTCAAGGTTTTGAGCTTCTGGGCTTCCGATTGGGGATTTACAACCGAAGGTGGAGGATTCAACCTAAAACCCCCAAACCCCAAAGGGGTATTACTGCCTGGAGATGCAAAGCTCAGGGCTTTAACCTGAGAGGCTGAGATTGTCAAGATAGCTATGCACTTGGGGGAGGGAGTGGAGCTTTGGGTCCTAGCATTTGACGGTTCAGGGAGGCGGTTTAGGGTTGAGTGTTCAGGCTTATATGTGTGGTTTTCAAGGGCAAGAAAAAATCTCAAAAAGATTGGCATTAAGCGGATAAGGGATTGTGATGAATGATTGCAAAAGGCTGTATTGGTTCAATCGTAAGAGTCTCTCAATAGATGTAATAGGCTTGGGGCTGAGGTTCAGGACCTGTGCTTTGAGAAATATGCGAAGCGTTTAAACTGGCCGTAGTGATTCTAGTAGTGCTCTAGGGCTTTGCGCGCAAATCAAAGTCACTTCCATGCTGGGCTGTAGAACCCAAAACACATCGTGGGAGATTTCATGAACTGACTAACACGTTTTCAAGGTTAAATTGTTCTTTGGACCCCATGGAAGCAGCTATCTGAAACATGAACCACCAACATGCCTGTTCAGATCGTGCACAGGAGTTTAGGCAGCCGTCATGAGACAGATGAGTTTTCTACGGCCTTGATACTTCGGGTCCAGGAGCCCAACACAGTTGTGCAGCGGTATTCGAACAAGGAGCTTCCGAGATGTTTAGCTCACTGGCAGCATAAATGATTGGAAGCTATGCTTGGTTTAGGGTTTAGGGTTGAGTTTTCAAAAATTTCCATTGGTGCCTTGCCCGACGAGGCCGCAACTGGCGTACCCACCTGGATATCCGCGGCTTGGGGCTGCGGTAAGCAGGGACTTGAGGGAAATGCGTGGGGTTCAAACTTGCCGGGTGTAGGGGAATGCTCTAGAAGTTCGTCTGCTCATGTGCTGAGACATCTAAAACTCAAGAAAACATAATCGAAACCGGAACAAATTGGCATCATACCCAAGTGCTGGCCAACAGAATCGCCTTCCAGCGTGGCGCGCTATCGAATTCGCTACAAGCCCTCAACCGGCTTGACACCACAAAGCCAGCCACTCTAACCCCCAAATCATGATAAGAATAATTACTCCCGCTCTATGACCCCCGCCCCCGCCACCCCTTCAGGACACCTCACCCATATGAAAGACCGTTAGGTCTTGTTCCTCCCATGAACCCATGAGCCCACGAAAAAAAAAAAAAAAAAAAAAAAAAAAAAAAAAAAAAAAAAAAAAAAAAA